GTATTAATAAATTCACAATATATGTTCTACTCTACGCATAACAGTGAACAAGAAAATATAAAATTAATCGTAGTTTCGCTACACCTCATCAATAATAGAGGAAATATTGAGAAAGATAGGAAGAAAAGATGCTCAACAAATGCTGTGTTCAGACAACCCCCAATAAAAGTTGCATCAAAAGAAATTTGTTACAAGTAAAATCAAAAATTTGTTAAAATAAAAATAAAAATTTGTTACGAGTACAATACCGAACACTAACGCACTTAGACTCTCGAACTTTATCATTAATATTTTAATAGCGAACTATCATTTCAATTTTTGATATTTTCAATGGTTGCTCAATATCCTCGTCTATAAAACACGATGTCTCTGTTCGACAAGCTATTCGAATTTCTTGAAGTAGTTTGTCTGTATTAAAATATTAGTTAATAAAACAATAATATCAGTTACGAATCAAAGCTACTTTAAATTTTAATGAAATACTATCAGAAAATAAACTAAATCTATTAATTTTGTCTGACTAATGCCTAAACATCAGAACCTTATATACGAGACCAGGAAAACAAGCATGTAACTTTTTAAGATTAAATTCAAAGTCAATAAGCGAAGAGTGAAGAATTTATTAGGCATGTAGAATGCGATGCTTAAAGACAATAGACTTGCGACGTAACACTGAGACGTGGCAGAGACGTAACGTTCATTCCATTCACTCTAATAGTGATGAATTCCATACACTCTATACATAATATTCTGAGAGGCCGGTATTCTGAGTAGCTTAGAGAATAATTTCTAAGTTTAGATTAGGTTCAGAGTTGCTATTAGAAGGCATTCTTAGTAGAACATAAAGACAATATTTAGAATAAATTTATCAGTTCAGTTTAAGTAAGAAGTCATGTGCTGTCGCAAAGTGAACAACATCGCACCGAAATCAATCACCGCAGCGAGACTCACTGACTTATAATACAATTTCCTCTCAAATCATCACAATTTTTCCCTCAAATCATCACAAATTTCCCTGAAATCAAGACAATTTTTACATCAAATCATCACAATTTTCCTCAAATCATCACAAATTCCCTGAAATCATCACAATTTCCCTCAAATCATTACAATTTCCCTGAAATCATCACATTTTCCCTGAAATCGTCACAATTTCCTTGAAATCATCAAAATTTCCCTGAAATCATCACAATTTCCATGAAATCATCACAATTTCCATCAAATCATCACAATTTCCCTGAAATCATCACAATTTTCCTGAAATAATCACATTTACCCTCAAATTCAAAATTATTCATCACCGGTAAAGGGGCGCACGCATCAAATGACCGGCACGTCGCAAATAATGAAGAACTTCAGAAGAAACGACGAGGGAAAATTAAACGATCACAAAGAGAGAACAGATGAAAAAAGTGACAGGTCCGCGAAATTTGCGGAGGGCGCTCAGGAACGAAAAATTTTTCCCTCCCCACGGTTGCAAAATCCTATAGGACTTCATACAAAGAAGGCCTTCTTCAGGGTGGTATATATATTCGGGGTAACTTTGTTGCGTTATTTACCCATTTAGATTAAAAATGAATTTGAGCCAAACTAAGACGAAATTAAAGCTAACTTTAGAGACGCGACTGACTTTACCGACGAAAGTAATGCTAATTTTACAGATGTTACCCCAAGTTAGCGAAATTTTATTTTCGCACCTGCAGAATTGGAGTTCCCGAAGACTTTGACAACTTTTTACAGCACATTTACGAAGGTTTAACTTATACAATTTACGAGCTTAATGCTAAGTACACATATTCTATAAGGTATTAAGTACAGATATTCTATAAGGTATTAAGTATACATATTCTATAAGATGTTTATCGATAGTTAAATCTATGGTCAGAATCGTCAGTTTTGATGCCTTGAAGTGAGAAATAATAAATTCAACTCTTAATTCAAGAGCTTGTTATGGTAAGGTTGAGTTGAGTTTTAATTTGAGTTGTCCAAGTTTTAGTTATGAGATTTTCTCAACGCGTTGCAAACAAAGCATTAGCGAACAGTTGAACAAACTAATTTGTCCTGAAGATTCTTCGCTAATAATTTACGAACTAAGAAACGAATTACGAACGAAGAAACGAATTACGAACGAAAAAACGAATTACGAACGAAGAAACAAATTACGAACGAAGAAACGAATGACGAACGAAGAAACGAATTACGAACGAAGAAACGAATTACGAACGAAGAAACGAATTACGAACGGATAAACGAATTACGAACAAAGAAACGAATGAACGAACTAAACACATTACAGTTCTGTCCTATTAACATCATCATCGGCATATTTTGCGATTCCATTCCATATTAGTGAACACCTTTTAATTATATCAATAATGAGTAAGGTCATTAGCACAATTTTGAAAAATGAAGCGTCACTGTAATTGCAGCGTCAGGATGTAATTAAGATGGAATAAAATATTTTCAATCTTAACTAAATTAACAATTTACTAAATTAACCTCAATTAAAATTAAATTAAAGAATCACACAAACTTATAGCAAAATTAATTAGCGAAAATCGCGCACTAAACTTAATGACAATGTTGGATACTTAAGTTGGAATGTTGAATACGCGTAGTATAACCTTTAAAGTAGTATAACCTTTAAATAATGCATGTATGGGAACATTATACTGGATGCGACTAATGTATAACCTAGTTACACTTTTATAATCAACTTGATTTAAATTATGATCGAAAAACGTAAATTTTCTGCATGTGGATCAAGCTTTGTATAATATAAATTATCATTTACATTTCACGTAAATATCTGTCAACATTCGTGAATGAAACGAATGTGAAAATTCAACGCAGTTTGCAAAACATGTTCATCAGTGGAATAGACATCAATAAATAAATACATAATACATGAGTGCGTTACGTAAATTGTTGCAATCAGTCAAATATAACCTCTGTGCTTGACTAGAAAGTGTACTAACTAGTGCCAAATTCACAATAAATTCACAAACTCACTATAACTTCTAGAAAACCAATCGTCATTCACTATCAGGTCCCAAAAACTATCTATAGCATCGTAAGTCCAAGGTCTAATCACTATCAAGATTTTCAATATCATCATCAAACTAACGATTAAACTACGAGAATTTGATGATTCAGTTGACGGTTAGCGTGCACTTAGAAAAATTAGGGGGTTATACTGACCAAATAGTACCCCCACTTCCTACACATCTTGATGAAGTGCCTTAACGGGTCAGAATAATCCCGCAACGAGGGGCAAAAAACATCGATACTTGGACAATATTTCGTTCATTACTCTGAGTGTGAATAATAACATCTTTAGAAATGGATATACACTGTTAGAAAAATTACCGTTAACGGTATTACCGGCATTTCAGTGGCCGGTCGGCACGTGAAAAGAAACACCGTGTCGCCGTTTTTATTCCAATTTAACCCCAGAAATCCGTAAAACATCTGATAAAAACGGCGAAACAGTTTATTTTCACGGGGCGTCCGGCCATTACGATGCCGGTGGGACCGTTTTTTCACCGTTTTTTCTAACAGTGATATTGGATATTGGATACACAGTTATCCAACAAACAAAATTTAAATCATTGTCAGACATTTGAAAATTCTAATAAATTTCATTTACAATGTCTTCGCAGCAATGGCTGTATAGAAAGATTGTGGAACAAAGCATTATTACAAATTCTGGTTTAATTCCACGAAGGAAAAGTTATTTTATCGATTTTAGCCAGGCATCCATAAGGCATTCATCAAATAGATAAAAATTTCCATGATATTAGAATTTAAGTTGCACAGTCAGCCTGATTCACGTCGTCAGGATTATCGTATTTGTACACGATGGTTAAGTGAACCATAAGACCACACACTTGACTAGTTCATCATGTTAATACTTGGGTAGGTGGGCAGATAGGTAGGTGGGGGGAGAGGTAGGTGGGGAAGTAGGTAGGTGGGGAGGTAGGTAGGTGGAGGAGGTAGGTGGAGAGGTAGGTGTAGGTGGTGAGGTAGGTAGGTGGGGAGGTAGGTAGGTAGGTGGAGAGGTAGGTGTAGGTGGAGAAGTAGGAAGGTGGGGAGGTAGGTAGGTAGGTAGGTGGGCAAGTAGGTGGATTATCAAGTAGGTGGGTAGGCAAGTTTTCAAGGTAATAGGTTTGTTCAAATTGGTTCTAATGAAAAATATTACAATCAATATACAAGCAACTAACCGCACTCACTGAGAAGCCTCACGTAACAAGTAATCAAATTAATACATGGTCCTCATTAACATAGTTTAATTATTAGTTTTATAACGAGGCTCATTAATTACAGTGTAAAAATGGATTAAAAGTGAACATCACTGCAGATCATTAATGGACCGAAAATTCAATAATAACAAGTCAACAGGAGACCAGATTAATCAATAGAGGAAAAGGGAAAATTCAGTAACAACGAACAGTTGGCACAATTTCGTGATAAATGATGTAGGATTTGATGATAATCCGGTTAACTGTTAAAGATTACTTGTGCAAATATGCATAATAATTTTATAGGAAATAAGTATCGCCGATATGCTCGAAATCGGGAAAAAATATATCAACTGGAAGAATGTAAAGTGGGAATATGTTATAGAACTTAGCAAATAGATAAAACTATAGTACGAAAAATGTGATATTTTCTTGGTTGTATTGTTATGAAAATGTGATATTTTCTTGGTTGTTTTGTTATATCTTTTATTCCCTTTGCCTTTCTCAGCTGTAGCGTTTTTATTTCCTCTACTCTTTATACATACCCATATTTACCACGTTACCTTATCCTCACTTTCACTACTTTTACACACTACCCACACTTTCCTCTTCAATCCTTCACTCTTCCCACTTCCCCCAATCCACCTTTTTCCCCCACTTTCACCATATGAGGCTAAACCTTTTCTTTTTAGGGATATTATTAACGGATATTTTCTTAACTTGTCCGGAATGATTTTTTCTGGGTTTGAAGAGGTTTACCTGGAGCCCGACTTTGATCTTCTTGGTGAGGGCGCCCTGGGGGAACACCGCCTGCACCTGGGGCACCACCGTCGACGACACCATCCCCCCGTCGGGGCCTATGGCGTGCACCTGGTGGGGATGCAGGGGGTTTAGGGGGTTATGAGGGGAGGGGAAAGTAAGGGAAGGTTCCTCCAGTACTTCCCAGTACTTCGAAATTAACGATAACGAAGGGGGTAAGATAACATCCCCCCGTCGGGGCCTATGGCGTGCACCTGGTGGGGAGGCAGGGGATTGAGGGAGGGTTATGAGGGGGAAGATAACATCCCCCCGTCGGGGCCTATGGCGTGCACCTGGTGGGGAGGGTATGAGGAATGGGGGGAAAGGTAGAGGAGATGAGGGTTATGAGGAAGAATCGGGTAGAAGACAGTGCATAAATTGCAAAATTATTATTTCTTGTCCTTTGCATATTTATAGGGTGCTCGTCTGATCATAAAAGGTCGTATTACTCAATTATGAAGGCTCCTAATAATTCAATTACAAAGGTTCATAATAACTCAATTATAAAGGATCCTAATAACTCAATTATACAGCTTCATAATAACTTAATCATAAAGGTCCATATAAATTATTCATAATGTATTTTAGTCATATTACACACCTCCTGACGTATGCGGGTGACGATAGCGAAGTACTGGGGGAAGTCTGTGGTCAGGATGCGGGTGATGCGGCTCGTGTTCAGGTCATCCAGCTGCTTCAGCTCTGCTCGTACAACATTAATGTATGCATTCATGTTGCTAATACAATATATTCAAGCTCAAACAATATCAACATTAATGTATGCATTCATGTTGCCTATACAATATATTCAAGCTCAAACAATATCAACATTAATGTATGCATTCATGTTGCCTATACAATATATTTCATACATTCACATTCATTAAATACATTTAAAATGCATTAATATTAACGACAATTCATTAATATTACCGACAATTCATTAATATTAAAGACTATGAATTAACATTAACGACAATTCTTTAATATTAACGCCAGTTCATTATTATTAACGACAATTAATTAATAATGACATTTGAAGTATTTCAATGTTGGTGTAAACATCAACGGTTGATTGGAGGTTAAGGACAACATTGCTTCTATTTCTGAGAGAACTTTAACATTGAAATCTACATTAATATCGATTTTTCATGTGTTACAATATTCATGTTACAACCAACGGCTGATTGGAGTCTGAGGGCAACATTACTTTCATTCCTGGGGGAAATTTAACATTAAAATTTACATTAATAAAGCTACACATCAGAATAATGTTGATGCCAGTTAATCATACGCGCAGCTTATTTATATCTGCCAAACTGTCATAAGACCCGGAACCGGAACCTTAGAACCGGAACCGGGACCTTGGAACCGGAACCGGGACCTTAGAACCGGAACCGTGACCTTGGAACCAGAACCGGGACCTTGGAACCAGAACCGGGACCTTGGAACCGGGACCTTGGAACCGGAACCTTAGTACCGGAACCGGGACCTTGGAACCGGAACCGAGACTTGTTATTAAACGAGTACGAGGAGCTCGTTGTGACACAGACACGAAATTGAAAAGATGAAATATACTTTACCGGTGTGTAACTATGATTAAATTCTTCTTTCTTTACACATCGCTGTTACATTATTACATTCATTCTTGAGCACCACTTGTTGGCCTCACCTTCCCCGTCGAAGGACTCCTCTCTGTGGGCTCACCTTCCCCATCAAAGGACTCATTGTTGGCCTCACCTTCCCCGTCGAAGGACTCATTGAGGACCTCCTGGACGGCGTCCTCCGTGGCCTCAAGCGTGTGCTCGCGCCAGGTCTCGCCGTTGTCGGAGCGCAGGATGACGATCTCGCGCTCCTTGCCGCGCAGCGACGCGAAGTGTGGCACCTCCAGGATCACGGGGCTGCGGGAGCGAAACTCGTGTAAAGCTGTGATATTTCTATGCTTATATAGTGCATAATGTAAGTTATTGTGGAGCAAGACTCATGTACAACTGTTATATTTCTATGCTTAAATAGCGCAAAATGTGGGAGCGAGACTCATGTAGAGCTGTAATATTTCAGTGAATGATTCAAGTTATTAATGCCGCGCAGCGACGCGAAGTGGGGAGCCTCCAGGATCACGGGGCTGCGGGAGCGAGACTCATGTAAAGCTGTGATATTTCAGTGTTTAAATAGAGCAAAATCCAAGCTATTTTGGAGCGAGACTCAGGGGAAGCAGTAATATTTTTATGTTTAAATAGTGAATGATTGAAGTTATGAATGCCGCACAACACGCGAAGTGAGGAACCTCCAGGATCACGGGGCTGCGGGAGCGAGACTCGTGTAGAACTGTGATATTTCTATGCTTATATAGTGCATAATGTAAGTTATTGGGGAGCAAGACTCATGTACAACTGTTATATTTCTATGCTTAAATAGCGCAAAATGTGGGAGCGAGACTCGTGTAGAGCTGGGATATTTCAGTGTTTAAATAGTGAATGATTCAAGTTATTATTGCCATGCAGAAACAAGCAGTGCGGCACCTCTAGGATCACGGGGCTGGGGGGAGCGAAACTCATGTAGAGCTGTGATATTTCTATGCTTAATAGGATCACGGGGCTGCGGGAGCGAGAGTCGTGTAGAGCTGTAATATTTCTATGCTTAAATAGTGTATGAAGCAATTAGTACAGGAAAAATATTTTTGATTATTGATGGTGAACAGCGATTACCGTGCTCGAAATGCGTAATGATACATAGTGATAATTGTCAGCATCAGCGATGACAGCTAGGGAAAAATGATATTAATAACCATAATCACCGAAAATAGAAAACAATGATAGCTACAGCAATGTTAGCTAGCAATAGCATCTAACAGTGATATCCATAGCAATGATAGCTACTGCAATGAAAGCTAGCAATAGCATCTAACAATGATAGCAATTAGCAATGATAGCTACAGCAATAATATCTAACAATGATAGCTAACTATATCATCTAACAATGATAGCTATATGATATCTATAGCAATGATAACTACCAATGATATCTAACAATGATAGCAATAGCAATGATATCTATATCAATGATAGCCACCGATGATATTCAATTAACTAATGATAGCCAATTTCTAACAATGATATCTATAATATCTAACAATGCTAGCTAACAATAATAGCAATAATAGATACCAATGATAATGAAGATAGCAATGATATCTAGCAATGGTATCTAACAATGATGTTATCAATGATAATGAAGATATCAATGGTATCTAGCAATGGTATCTAACAATGATGTTATCAATGATAATAAAGATAGCATTGCTCACCCCAAGAACTTGGCCCCTTGAGGCCCCATCTCGAGTATCCTGGAGGCCAGGGCCTCCCCCTCCATGAGGGGAGGCGCGTGCACCAGCTTGTCCTTCTTGAGGTAGCGACACGTGATCCTCATGGGGGAGGCGGCCTTGCGGGGGGGGATGATCACCCGCACCCCTGAGTGCCTGCACCCCCGCATGGCTCCCCCACGGGCATCCACCATGAAGCTCACCAGGAACCTGCGGTCCCGGGGTGATAGTGAATGGGGTGAAAGGGGGGAGGGGTGGGGTTTAGTGGATGGGGTGGAAGGGGAAAGGTGGCGATTAGTGAATGGGGTGAAAGGGGGACGGTGGGGGTTAGTGAATGGGGGTGAAAGGGAAGGTGGGGATTAGTGGATGGGATGAAGGGGGGGGGGGGTTGGGGGTTAGTGGATGGGGTGAAGGAGAAGGTGGGGATTAGTGAATGGGGTGACCGCGGAGATTAGTGAATGGGGGTGATTGTGAAAGGGGGATGGGAGGTGGGGTGATTAAAGGGAGGAGGGGATATGGGGTGGTGTAAGAGAAAGGGTGGTGAAAGTTTGTGAAAGGAGATAGTGAAAGGAGGAAATATGGTGGGAGATAGTGAAAGGTGGAAAGAAAAGATAGGAATTATAAAGATTAGTGAAGGAGAGGGGAGAAGGGGGTGGAACCTAGAGGAAAGGGATATGATAGGTGGGGTTAGCGGAGGAAGTGTGGGAATGGAGGAATAAGGAAAGGGATAAGAAATAAGGAAAGGAATAAGGAATAAGGAAAGGGATAAGGAACAAGGAAAGGGATAAGAAATAAGGAAAGGGATAAGGAATAAGGAATAAGGAAAGGGATAAGGAATAAGGAAAGGGAAAACGTGAAGTGACGGGTTAGTGAAAGGGGGAGCAACAGTGAAGATTATAGGAGAAGTGGAGGGTATGGAAGTTTAAAAAAGTGAAGAGGAACAGTGAAAGGTAGTGAAAAGGTTCAAGGATGAATGCAGGAATAAGTATGTACTGAAATTAAGAGAAAATGTATGAAAAAGAGTTGAATGTGAAAGTTGATATAGTAAAAGAAGTATATTGAGAGAACTTTGTGAAAGGTGAGGTATGAGTTAAGGTCAGTTGCAAGTTTGATCTAATTATTCCGCTTTCAAACTTGATTGATTTTGTTAAATTTAATATTAAAATAATGCAAGTTATTCATGCCGGATAATATTATCATGGAAAATATTGAATCAATAAATAATATGAACAAATAAATATTTTAATCAATACATTGATTTATATCAGTGGCATAAATGAGACTACTAAATTCAAACTTCTAATGAGACACGATTTGATGGAGCAAAAATTAAAGAAGTTTCGCTCATTAAAAACGAACAAACTTTCTTCTTGTATGTAAATTGTTTTCATTTGATCCAGCAATCAATATAAACAAATATATAATGAAACATGAACTATATGTATTACATAAACAAATGTATTGTTAGTAATGCTCTGTATATGTGTTAAGGCATGCCACTATACACAATACCCATGATGAAAACACGCATGCCTTGTGGTTACTTAATACGAAATGAACACATTTCGTATTAAATGAACACATTTCGTTCACACATCAAATAAACATCCAAACAGTGTATTAAAACCACGCTATGAATAGTCAACTTAATATCAAACATAGACATTAATACAGGAGACTTCAAACATCTAAATTATTCAGACAAGCAAAATAGAAGCGGTCTATGTCACACATAAAATACAAAATACATTTTAATACATAAGCTCGTGCATCAGCGTGCGTTGAAAACTAGCAATAAATTTGACGCTATGTAAAAGCCATTAAATCAAGCAATAAAACATTTATATGTCAACAAAACAAGAACAAATAAAAAGTGTTGTAATGAGTTTAAAACCCAATGTTGAAATTTGGAAGGAAGCAACAATAAAAAAGAAGTTTGTACAACAGAGACAGGAAACTATGCAAAAAACGTGTGAAGAAATCAAGCAAACAAATAAGTATTTACATATACAGAACAAGAAGAGTAAAGTCAAAAGTGGAAATAAGTCTTTTGAATTTAATAGGCGCACGAATTTGTATATTCATTTAATAGGCGCACGAATTTGTATATTTGTATAATTGTGCACGAAAATAACGCACGAATTTGTAATTTAATTGGCAATTCATGACACGTGACGTAAGTCAGAAGAAATATGTATAATAACAAATAGAATTTATTATAAGAATTTCTTGTTTATATGCGTAAAATTTATGACCAGAGAAGGCATTTGAATTTTCAAGGAGTTGAACAATTCTTAGATGACGTTGGTAGATCAAAGGCCGCATAATAACAAATAGTTGTGTCACCACGAAATGCGTTTTAAATCTAAAAGGGAAAATATGTCTACGCATAAACAAATTTTTTCTAAGATTACCAATTAAAAATTAGTAGAGAAATGATAAGCTTTGTGCCGCACAATACATAACTTGCGACGTAAAAAATATCTCCTCGTACCGAAAGTAATTCGTGTCATACTGATAAATAAATGTTATAGTGATAAATGGATGTCATACTGATAAATGGATGTCATATTGATAAATGGATGTCATACTGATAAATGGATGTCATATTGATAAATGGATGTCATACTGATAAATGGATGTCATAGTGATAAATGGATGTCATACTGATAAATGGATGTTATAGTGATAAATGGATGTTATAGTGACAAATGGATGTCATATTGATAAATGGATGTCATACTGATAAATGGATGTTATCGTGATAAATGGATGTTATAGTGATAAATGGATGTCATACTGATAAATGGATGTCATACTAATAAATGGATGGTATAGTGATAAATGGATGTCATACTGATAAATGGATGCCATATTGATAAATTGCTTCACAAAGTAACCTACTTATACATAGACAACCGAACACAAAAGAACAAGGTGAGCAAGAACAATGTATTTTACTAAAGGAATCGAAATTCGAAATAAATACATCCATGTGGAAATCGCTAAATGAAAAATAACTTGATTTAAATCATATCGTATAATAAATCAAGTACATTTTAAATTAAAATTGGATAAGGCGTTTTAAGAATTATTATTTTGATATAGGAATATCCATCCCGTTTCTCTGAAAGAATTATTGTAAAACAACTGCACTCAAAAAAAAAAATCAAATAATACGCAGGTAAAATGAATACAAAACCAGGGTGGAAAAATACACGACCAGGGTGGAAAAATACAAAACCAGGGTGGAAAAATACAAAACCAGGGTGAAAAATACATAACCATGGTGGAAAAATACAAAACCAGGGTGGAAAAATGCACGAATACTCACGTCTTCCATGAAAGTTTTCTACAAACACGACAGCATGAAACGAAAGAACAGGCAAGTTGGCCACAACCATCACAACAGAATTCGATTCCGAAGGAAACTCGGAAAAATTCAGCGCCTAAGAAAGATTTTATGCGCTAGAAGAAAGATTTTATGCGCTAGAAAATCATGCCGAAAATTTCAGCGTCTAAGAAAGATTTTATAGAAAATAGAAACCTTAGATGCTGAAGATAGAAAATCATGTTTCCCAAATTAGACATCATTGATAAATAACCAATACGTGGATTTTAACTTATTTATTTCTTTGTTGAAATAACTTTGCAATGTCATTCGGTTGCAGTATATTTAATGTTTGTTATGATATTATAATCAGCCAGCGAGGAGTAATTTCTTAGTACACTAGACACCGTTCATATAATGCTTGGAAAATCAGTTTCTTCGTTGGAAATGATCAGTTAACTTCAAATGACCGCAAGATGCGTCGGAAAAGTTGCGCACGAATGTGAATTTTAAACTGCCAAATATTTTATTTTGATTTTGCATCAACTATTTTAGCATCCTTCCCAATGTTTTCTAGTGACCGTAAATTTGCAACAGTATCTCAGTAATAAAATTAAACTTAAAAAATCATTTACAACGCGCACCCATGCCGCATGGCTTGACGTAAGTTAATTAAATCGAACTTCACGCAAATGATGCAATCTTCTAAGCCTTAAGAAACGCCTCATAATAAAATTACTTCTAACTCATTTCTCCAGCTGTGACTCATGATTCATTGGACCACCTGCGAGACTATTCATCCCTGCCTGATTCATACCTAATAATAAACATTCTCGGTCTAATAATAATAAATAAAAACCTTCTCGGTCACTTCACTATCTTCTATTTCCGTTCGAGCCGAGTTTACCTCGATTTTCGCCCCCAATCCTATATTAATACTCTGATTCAAATAGCAATTATCCACATTACATGTCCCAGTTTTTCATCTTGTCTCACATAATGAATTATTTTCACCCCTTTCTATTTTGCTCAACACCATCATCTTTATAGCCCCCTTCCACCATCTCCATCTTTATAGCCCCCTCTTCACCATCTTCATTTTTTTATCCCCCTTCAACATCTCCATCTTTTAGCCCCCTTCACCATCTTCATTTTTTAGCCTCTTCACCATCATCTGTTTAGCCCCCTTCACCATCTTCATCTGTATAGCCCTCTTCACCATCTTCATCTGTATGGCCCCCTTCACCATCTTAATCCTTTTAGCCCCTTTCACCATCTTAATCCTTACAGCCCCTTTCACCATCTTTATCTCTATAGTTCCCCTTTATCATCTTCGTCTTTTAATCCCCCTTTCACCATCTTTTTCTCTACAGTTCCCCTTCACCATCTCACCATCCACCAGCAGGGGTTGGCGTGGGCCCAGCAGCTTAAATTAAAGGAAGCCTCGTCGCGCCGCTGCCAAGCGAACGCAACAAGCGCGCCTGCTTGTGCGCACCACAGCACCACAGCACATGTGCACCACAGCACATGTGCACCGCAGCACATGTGCACCACAGCACAGCAGCACAGTAGCACAGCAGCACATGTGCACCACAGCACCGCAGCACAGTAGCACAGCAGCACAACACATGTGCACCATAGCACAGGTTCACATGTGCACCATAGCACAGGTTCACATGTGCACCATAGCACAGCTTCACATGTGCACCATAGCACAGCTTCACATGTGCACCACAGCACAGTAACACATGTGCACCATAGCACAGCAACTCATGTGCATCATAATGTAATGAAAAGTACTCCCTTGAATTATGAATATACAAACACAGAGTAATATTTTAGGTCAGATACAACACTCGTGGAAGTACCATTAATGAGT